CTCTCCTACGGAGCAGGGAAATGTCCCTGTCGTCATTTTCTTTCTTAGTTTAGACATCATCATGGCAGGGGATTTCCTCGGTGGTCCAGGGGTTAAGAACCCACCTTCCATTGCGGGGGACATGGGTTCAATCTCCGGTCAGGGAACTAAGATCCCACATACTTCAGGGCAACTAAACCCAGGCACTCAACTAGCGAAGCCTGTGTGCCACAACAAAGATCCAGCACAGCCAAAATAAAATTTTAAAAATAAATAAAAACAAATGGGACCTAATCAAACTTTTAAAAAAAATTTTTTAAAGAAATAATCACAGCAATAGTCACCGTATATTAGGTGCTCATTTAATTCCCAGAGACTGCAGTTTACAAACACTTTGCAAGGATGTTCACTTGCTCAATCATGCCCGACTCTTTGTGACCTCATGGGTCCATTTATGGACTCCATTTATGGAATGCAAGACTCCATTTATGGAATTTTCCAGGCAAGACACTTTACATATTCTTAAATCCATACAACAGTCCAGTGAGGTAAGTGGAAATTATTAACTTTGTTTTACAGAAGAAGAAACTGATACTCAGAGATACTGAATAACTTGCCCACTTACACAGCTAAGCTATTCCAAAGCCCCTGCTCTTTGCCCAAAGATGAACCCCTCTCAACCCAGTACCCTGCACAAGGCTCTCAGTGAATTCTGATTGACTTTTTGCTCTCTCATATCTTCATCTTTTCTTGGAAGCTTCCAGTGACATCTTAGGAATGGATAAGGTATAAATTCCAGTTGAAATGACTTAAATTAGCAAGGATATCTTGGTATGCTCTCTTCACATCTCAGTTACAGTCCTTTCAAGATTGATATGAAGTTTTCTTTTCTTCTCTGCTTCCCCTGTCTTCTTAACTTTAGAGCTTGCTTTGGAAGTTTGCAACAGGCAGAGGTCAGACAGGATGTGTAAATAAAAGGGCAGAGGGCTTCCTAAGGGAGAAGATGGTGGCCGCTATCTGATGCCCCAAGAAAAGACAGACCCCTGCTTCACGACCCACGCTAATTTTGTTCACTTGTCTTGGCTTCTTTCCTCAACCCAGTCTGGCTAGGATGACGATAAAATAATTATGGGCAACAGTGACAAGGGAAAAGTATGAGTTCCCCCTGTCCTCACTGTGGAAGCCCAGGCCCCACTCATAAGTGAGAGAGACCCTCTGGGAAAGCAGCTGGGTTGGGAGAATTATGGGCAGCTCCAGGTCAGAGATTTCCTGTAGTAATCTCAAATCCAAATATTTTGTCCTGTTTTTACTCAGTGTGATCCATCCTCTCACTCAGACCTGGTGGAGTTTCCCATGGCCCCACTAGTGAGTCGGGGACAAACGTAACCCTCCCCATTTCTCTGTCTGAGGGCTGATGGCAGCACGTGACAGATGTGCCCCGAGGGGAGGACCTGCGAGCCCACACAGCCGGACCCACGATGAAGGGCCACAGGCCAAGCGACATAGTGGCTGGACACCGCAAGGACAGGGGTGAAGGGACCAGGGCTGTTTCTGCTTCTTGTCTAAGTTAATCACCACCAACCAAGATGGAGCTAAAACAGGACTCTCCCTCACTGTTCCAGGTGACCCACGCTCTGTGACGGGGCATCTCATCTAGAAAGATCTCCTCCTCCCCTCCATCCCACTCCACGCCCCCACCTCTCCCCCAGCCCTGGCTCCTACAGGCTGGAGACAAGGCTGTGGCCAGCACAGAGGCACGGGAACCAAGGGAGCAACGCCATGCCCGCCTGCGGTCAGGTAGGAGCAGGGCACAGTCAGCCCTGGCCTCAGGATTGGGGGTCAGAGGCTCAGCCGAGAGCCAGGGCGCATGGGTGTGAGCACTGCCCCGGAGCACACTTGAGGCATTCCAGAGACCAAAGTGTGCCTGGGGGACCTTGCCAGCGGCTCTCCTCTTTCTAGAAAGTCAGCCCCCAAAATGGAAGGAATAAATCCCATCTTCGCGCACAGCCTTCAGTCTCTCCAGGCTCACTTGTACCCTTGCCAGCACACTCCCCCTGCTTGCAGAGGGCAGAGGATGCTTTTTGGTTTGGGGAGCGCACTCAGCAAAGGTGCAGGGTGGGAGTGTGGAGGAGTGCCTCAGGTCCTCCCTGATTACAGGCAGCCCCAAGGAGGACATGTGGGTTCAGTCCAGGCTTGCTGGCCCCCAGACTCAACCACACAGACATCTCCCCTGCTTTGTGGAGGAGAAGGGCCAGTGGGTCCAGGAGAGGCAGGGGCAGCCCTGAGTGAGTCCGGAAAAGGAGGCACTGGGGGGCGGGGAAACTCTGCATGTCTGTGCTAGGCTCCAGGACGCAGGCAGGCCCCACAACGCTCACGAGGGAAGAGAAGCCCTTACCTGTGTAATCTACAAAGGATCTCGTTTCATTCTTATTTCATTTCCCCCATTTCCTAGATTGAGGCTTTTAGAAGTTGAGCTTTGATTGACAGGTCATTGTGACCTTCTTGACCTCAAAATCTTCCTCTGTCACTAAACAAATCTTCAGGATGTTCTGGCTTTCATAATCCACGCGGCTGGGACTTCCACAGGGACCACATCACACCATCATTTCCACTACACTTGTTTGCACAATCCTGCAAATGTTATCCCGTGAGGCCATGCCATCTGCTTCTGCCCATGACAGATGGGCCCCACGGCAGGTGTCCCTGAACTTCTCAAAGTGGGCCTGTTGAGAGGTCAAGATGGTAACCCCCATGAGCAAAGTTACTGACTCACTATGTCAATTTACCAACTTACAAGACCTCTCTTAAGCCTGGGGACTAAAATTCCAACTGGCTTTAATGAAGGGGACAAGGAGAGAAAGCAAAAGAGAAAGCCAGGTGACTGTGACAACAGGAGACACGGCTGGTAACTGATGTCTGATTTTGATGAAATATGCAGGCATGTGTGAATAAAATAAATATCAAAGCTGGCAATACCTAGATCCTCAAGACCTGTTTGGGGCTGAGGTGGTGGGTGATGAGAGGGTTAACAGAACAGTAAAACCTTCATCTGTGCTTTTCCAATTGTCCTTCAGTCTCTAATGAGGTATATACAAGTATATGCAAGCATACATTACTCCTTGACTTTAGTAAATAACTAGCCAGCTAGGCCCCTTCGGTTATCCTGACATTCTGGGAGCCTTGCCTCCTGTTTGGGTTGCCTTAGGCCCAGCAAGAATCAGACTCAACATTACATTTTTTTGCTTCAATCTTTTATGGACATCATGATGCTGATTTTTAATATAGATCTTTTTATGATGAGTCAGAGGGTGGCAGAATGACTTTTATGAGGACAAACCTGGTTACTATGTATGTAATTCATTGGGGCTTTTAAGATGTAGAAATTTGATTGCCTGCTTAGCTTGGGGACTTTTTTTTTATTGCACATCCAAGTTTGTTTATGAAATTCTCTCAGCACCAGATAACATTGCTGTCTGATAAGAACGGGGAGTGTTTATGTGACCTTGTGGTGATAGTGGTTGGAGTATGAGGGTCTCTTTTGTCAAAGAAAAGAAGTATAGGACATGCAATGGCTCCACATAAAGAGAGTGTCATTTGGTGATGTACAGAAGAGGCTTGCCGGCTGCATAAGCCCAGGGGGCTGGGAAGATGGGTCCATTCTTCATCATTTAGGAGACCCAGAGACCCCAAGCTCACCAACAAGTCAGGGCAGGCCTGCCTCCCCACTGAACCAGGGAGAACCCCCAGAGAGGTGGAGCTGTAGAAGGACAGGTATACTGTCCAAATGGGCAAACCCAAAGAATCAGTCAGGCAAATTGTCATGATGGAAGCCATAGGCAGAGTTTCCTGAGCCCACCAGACAACTCACTGTGGGAATTCCCAGCTTCAAAGAAGGCACACTCCTAATCTCTAATCCCAGTCTCTAATAAAATATCAGTTACCACTACCCAGGTGCTCTGATTGTTCCTTGAACACTGTTCAACACTCCGAATGCTGTCCTCACAGTAGCCTTGAAGGAAGGGGAAACCGAGGCTTATGGAGGTGAAACAGCTTGCCTCAGATCACCCAGGGCCTGTGCTTCTGTCCATAAATGCATCATTCATCTGGTCTCACAGCACCAAATAACCAGCTGGTCCTCTGTCATCTTCAAACTCATGCGTCAGCAATCAAAGTCACCAGCTTTCCTCCCAATGTGGCACTTTCTTGTGACTTCCTTACTGTTCAGTCACACCCATTTCCTGATCGTTATCTCGGTTCAGGCCCTTACCCAAATTTTGATTTATATAATTGCCTCCTTATCAATTTCCCTGCCACCAGTGTCTCTGGCATCCATCAAACGAAGCCACAGTTTGTTTGATCTTTTTACCGTGCCATGTAGCCTCCTCATCTTCCAACCACACAGTCTTGATGGGTAGCCAGTGTGATGTGAGAGAAGGGGCATCAAGTTCAACGCCACGCAGTCCTGGGTGCGACATCAGCGCTGGCCCACCTTCCCAGGGGGTCCGTGCGTGTTACCTCATCTCTACACCTGCTAACCTTCACAAATCGGTGTGAAGATAAGGCGCACTAATAGACATAAGGTGTCTAACACAGACGTTGACCTTAAACGGTTGGTGCTTCATAAATATTAGTTTGCATCCTTTCAGAGAACATTGCCTGGTGGATAATTCAACCCTGGAAACTACAATATGTCTCCAGCCTCCCTTCCTTCCTTACTATCCCTCATCTACACAAAGCCCCTCTTCTGGCTAAACCCCCTGGACCTTTCACCTTCCTTCTTACCACTTTTCACACACCACTGCCCATGCCAGCCCTTTTCTCCATCAACCAAAAACTTGCCCATCTTCGGGGTAAAAGGGGTGTCCAATTGTGCCCCTGGGCTCTCTCACCAGGGGAACATTCTCTCTCTCCTCAGAGGCTACAAAATAGGTCTGAGCCCCTCATTCAGACACTAATCTCTACTATATTTTGATTGCACTATTTCCCCTGCATCTCTCTGTCATCTAATATAGCATAAGCACCTTGAAGGCAGGACCCAGGCTTCCACATCTTCCTCTGCTCCGCCACATTGTCCTCTCTCTTCTCCACCGAATTAGCGCCCGAGAACTGTGGTTAAAAAGATAAATCACGTGTGAGGTGAAATGTGAGCATGTCCGGGTGTGTGTCACACCCTACCCCCCACCCAACCCCTCAACACCCCCCCTCCCCTGCCACACACAGTCTGCTTGCAGCGCCTGAGGTCCTAGGCTGTCTGGGAGGGCAGGACCAAGTCTGCGGCTCACTTGGCCCATCACACAGACAAACGCTTAAATAAATGATGGGGTTTCTGATGACAGCCTTCACTAGGACTTTAAAAATGATGAGCTATTACTACCCTGGCTCTCATCTTCCAAAGAACATCTTTACAGTCCCTGCCAGGCCCCAGATAATGAATTTCTTCAGTGCACCAAGCAGTGCTGGGAGAATTAATCATTCTGTTCATCCTCTAGGCTTGGTGGAATGCAGCTGGAAGCTCAGAAGTAGTAACTGTTTTATTCTGCCTTCTGCTGTCTCTAATCTCTCCTGCCAGACTATACGTCACCTGAGGAACAAGGTCACAGCTTGTGCATGATCCTATCTTCAGTGGAGGCTATCACCGTACTTTGCGTAGATTGACAGGTGGTATCTTGTTGTTGTCATCCTAGTCAAATAGGGCCTTCCTGGAACTGCACTGGGGTTCTCCCCCTTCTGGGGCTGCTCTGCTGACTCCTCTGTGTGTCGGTGGGACAGATGACTGGTGTTCAGAGACTGGCAGGCACACTGATGAGGGCCACTTTCCGGCTGAGGGCCCTCATTTGCTGGTTTGAAACCATCCACAGCTCTCTTTTCCCTCTGACCGTGAGTAACAACAGTACTTCAGACAATGGCTGTCCAGTCCCCAGGGTCACTGAGTGATTTCAATGGGGAGAGCTCCCTTGCCTCCCCTCCATGGGAACATAGTATGAACAAGAAATAAATGTCTGGTATTTAAGGTTGGATTCAGAGATGGTTATTGCAGGAAATCTGGCCAATCTCTACCAACAAGACTCAAAAAAGTATTGAAGAGAAAGAAAGAAAGTGAAGTCGCTCAGTCATGTCCGACTCTTTGCGACCCCGTGGACGGTAGCCTACCAGGCTCCTCCGTCCATGGGATTCTCCAGGCAAGAATACTGGAGTGGGTTGCCATTTCCTTCTCCAGGGGATCTTCCTGACCCAGGGATTGAACCTGGGTCTCCTGCACTGCAGGCAGACGCTTTAACCTCTGAGCCACCATGGAAGCCTCAACAAAGTATTTATTGAAGAGAAGAAGAAAGGAATTTGGGGTAAAATGCACTAGATTTGTGTGTTTTGAGAAGTCTTTCATGATAGTTAAGAAAGCAATTCAAATTAAGGAGAATATTTGTTGCAATGCTTGCTCCTTTCCAGAATTGGCTTAAATACCATACCACGGGGACTTCCCTGGTGGAGCAGTAGTTAAGACTCTGCACTTCCACTGCAGGGGGCGTGGGTTCAATCCCTGGTTGGAGAACTAAGATCCCACATGCTGAGCAGTGCGGCAACAACAAAAAATCTAAATAACATACCGTGGAGTCGATTGATTGGACAAAACAACAGTTGGATTCATTGAAAAGTAAGAATTACGTAAGAATTAATAAGAATTGTTGTCATTTACTGAATGTTGACTACATTGAAGACATTGTACTAAAGGCTTTGTATAAATGTCCATTTAATTCTCACTTTGACTTAGATAGGCAGTTATTTGTGCAACCAGCTCCCCTTCTGTAGATGATAAAGTTAAGATAGGGAGAAACTAGAGAGCTTGTTCAATATCACACAGGTAGTGAGTGACAGGACCCTGTGCTGAGATAGAGAGGTGATTTTCATCCCTACAGAAACAGCCCAGAATCTCCCTCTGGCTCTCTCTGGAGAAAGTGAAGTTGAGTGATAAGATTGCTACAGAGTAGAGGGTTCATCTGAATAAGCCACCTGTAAGAATAACGTCAGTATATGTACCTGGAGGGACGCTCCACAGTGAACCCAACTTCATCTTACTCCAATAACTCAGATTTCTGTATTCATGGGTGTTCCAGACGGAACGATTCTAAGCCAAGACCTTAAAGACAGGTAAGTGTTAATCCAGGAAAAGGGTGAGGAGCCAGAGGGGGATAGATGCCACCACCCAATGTGGAGTCTGTACCTCTGTTTTCTCAGTTGTAAGATCAACTATTAGACAATAATAACTATTGATAACATTTTGAGTGGATACTATATGCCAGACATTATTCTAAGTGCTTCACATGGGTTAACATATTTATCTCCACAACAACCCTATGAAGTAGACACTTTTGTTTATCTTCATTTTACAGATGAGGAAACTGAGGCACTGAAAGGTTAAGTAAATTTCCAAAGATCACACAGCTAGTAAGTGACCAAGCTAGGAACTGAACCCAGAGCCTACCCTAATCACCATACTCTTTGAGGTCTAAAATATACCTTACTGGGGGACAGGGATTTGTATCTGTTTGATATCCAGAACATTGCAGCATACCTTAAATAAGCAGATGTTGGATGAATGAATAATACAATATTCAAATAAAATATTGTTGTTTTGTTTCCTTAAGAGTTCTACAATTAACTGCCTCTTCAAAGTTATTTATGTAACAATATAAACCTGCTCTAAGCATCTGCCTACAATGCGGGAGACCTGGGTTCAATCCCTGGGTGGCGAAGATCTCCTGGAGAAGGAAATGGCAACCCAATCTAGTACTATTGCCTGGAAAATCCCATGGATGGAGGAGCCTGGTAGGCTACAGTTCATGGGGTTGCAAAGAGTCAGACAGGACTGAGCGACTTCACTTTCACTTTCTTTCACTTTCATAAACCTGCTCTAAACCCAGCCAGAACATTCCATTGAGTCTTATCAATCACATACAGATTAGGTCCTCCACCTCTTTTTTAAAATGTAATTCCTCTCCATTCCATCCCATTCAGTGCAGCAAATGTTCATCGACCCCCTGCTATAATCCAGGATTTCAAAGAAGAATGGGCTCAGATATTCAGACAGGAGCTCAGAGACCAGCAAAGGAATGGATGATGTGAGGAAAAAGTAACCTTACCATCAGACAATATTATAATAAGGGAACTGATGAGGGTTTTTGTAAGGCTGATGTGCCAGCACTAATTCTCCCATAGGGGGAGTTTCTCCTGAGGGAGTTCCCGCAGGAGAAGACAGAGGACTCAACTTGAAGAATGGCATCACAGCCACTGAACAGCTTATGCTGGTGTTAGGATGCATGAGAGTCCCAAGAAGTCAAAGGAACAATCAGCAAGGAGACCAGGAAAGTGTGATGAGATGGGTTTGGAAGAGTCTTTCATGCTAAGAAATGTGTGCTTTTTTTTTCCTGTGAACCTCAAAGCCATCAGATGGTGACATGATCAGTCAGATCTGACTGCTTCAGAGGAGATATATGTGGAGATAAAAATATTCAAAATGACTATTTCTATTCAACTGCCCTTTTTTTTTAAATCTCCTTGGAAGACTGAAGGGGACAGATAAACACCATCAGAAGATTGAATGAGATTGGCCTAGCCCGATTACAGAACTTCTGGCTATTTCTGATAATTTCTTAATCTCGCAGGGAATCTGAGCAACCTTTGTCTTTGTCACTCACTGTATTCTCTAATCCCCACTCTGGTGTCTGATTCGGTGCCTGTGTTTAATCTTCTGAAAGATTTATGGCCCCAGCACGTCTGCCTGTGATGAGCTCATCTGATGTCAGTTACCAGCCAGGAGGCTGGTAGGGAGATAGTCAGTTACAGTTGGGAATGTGTGACATGTCTGATCAAAATGTACTGTGGGAGGTGTACATTTCTCTGGGGAATGAACGTGGCATTTCAGCTTCATACAAGGGCCCTTTGGGGAGAAGAGAGGAGGAGATGCCAGTCTGCTAGTGGGAATCTGCAACCTCAAGCCCCTTCTCTGTGGAAAGCTCGCCTGCATGTTGCCAGGGATTGTTTGCATTTGGTTACCTCTCAGAGGCTCTGGTGGAAATACAATCTCTAAATATCGAAGGCAAAGCTGGAGACACAAAAATCACTTTGCTTTTACTCACCCCAAACCACACACACTCAGACAGATGAAATATGTATGAAGCCAGAGTCATCTGTAGCAGGCAGAGAGTGGGTCCCACAGAAGCATCTGGGACCTCATCCTGAGGCTCCGATACTGGGGTGATTCACAACAGAGATGGAGGAGGGGGCACCTTTGATCCGGGATGGTTCTGTTTCACCTGTGACTAAAGTGCAGTCTTAAAAGTGCACCTTAAAAATGCACCTGCCCATGTTTTATACTTGGGACCCCGGGACTTCCTAAGAGGGTCTCCTTTGGACAGGGGACTTATTGGGGAGCATCGGGGGACAGGAAAAAGTGGCAATGCAGGTTGTTCAAAGCAAATAGCTGTATAGTCCAGAGAAGGGGTGTCGTTATCTCGTTCGCAGCAAGGCACTGTAAGGCCGAGCATCAGTACTCAGCCATTCACACTGTATGGGGGCAATAACGGTGGGAGCCTGCCGCTCACTGTTGCTGTCAGTCTGGGATCCGAAGGTGAAGGCGAAAGCTGGCTATGGGCGGTGGCTGGAGCATGGGGCTGGGGGTGCAGGCAGGTAAGACTTTCCAACTCACCCACTGCACCGGGCAAAGCTGCATGGTATTGCCCTTCTTCAGAATGCCACCCTGCACCCAGGCCTCATGGCCAGCACACAAAATCAGACTTCTGTATCAACCCGCGACAGGCTGTGAGCCAGTCAGAGAGCAGTTTCATGGCGTCAGGGGCAGTAAGCAGCGGGGACACTGGGTGTGAGGAATAGGGGCAGGGGAAAAAAGAAAGAGAAATCAGTTTACCTTTCTCAGCTCTGCCTGGGGAGCAGGCATTGGAAACCTGCCCAGATATAAGTCTGCCTCACCCTGCCCTCCAGGCGCTGGTGCCAGGCACCTCCCTGCAAAGTCACAGGTAAAGATTAATAAAGGGAAAGGGGTAGGGTAGAAAAAGAGGATGTAGGCTAGGATCCCAAAACCTGGGTTGCCACCTCAATTTTGCCACCTGCCAACAAATCTATGAGGTCATGCCCACAGTACCAAGTCCAGACATCCACGTGCAACGTGCAAGACCCTGCATGAGCTGTTGTGGTTGTTCAGTGGCTCAGTCGTGTCCAACTCTTTGCGACCCCATGGGCTGCAGCACGCCAGGGCTCTCTGTCCATCACCATTCCCAGAGCTTTCTAAAACTCCTGTCCATTGAATCAGTGGTTCCATCCACACATCTCCTCTCTCAGCCCCTTCTCCTCATGCCTGCAATCTTTCCCAGCATCAGGGTCTTTTCCAGTGCATCAGTTTTTCACATCAGATGGCCAAATTATTGGAGTTTCAGCTTCAGCATCAGTCCTTCCAATGAACATCCAGGACTAATCTCCTTTAGGATGGACTGGTTGGATCTCCTTGCTGTCCAAGGGACTCTCAAGAGTCTTCTCCAACACCACAGTTCAAAAGCATCAATTCTTTGGTGCTCAGCTTTCTTTATAGTCCAACTCTCACATCCATACATGACCACTGGAAAAACCATAGCCTTAATTAGACAGACCTTTGTTGGCAAAGTAATGTCTCTGCTTTTTAACATGCTGTTTAGGTTGGTCATAGCTTTTCTTCCAAGGAGCAAGTGTCTTTTGATTTCATGGCTGCAATCACCATCTCCATAGTGATTTTGGAGCCCCCAAAAAATAAAGTCTGACACTATTTCCACTGTTTCTCTATCTATTTTCCATGAAGTGATGGGACCAGATGCCATGATCTTTTTTTAAATGTTGAGTTTTAAGCCAACTTTTTCACTCTCCTGTTTCACTTTCATCAAGAGGCTCTTTAGTTCTTCTTCACTTTCTGCCATAAGGGTAGTATTATCTGCATAACTGAGATTATTGATATTTCTCCCAGTAGTCTTGATTCCAGCTTGTGCCTCATCCAGCCCAGTGTTTCTCGTGATATACTCTGCATATAAATTAAATACGCAGGGTGACAATATACAGCCTTGACGTACTCCTTTTCCTATTTGGAACCAGACTGTTGTTCCATGTCCAGTTCTAATTGTTGCTTCTTGGCCTGCATACATATTTCTCAAGAGGCAGGTAAGATTTCTAGTATTCCCATCCCTTTAAGAATTTTCCACTGTTTGGTGTGATCCACACCAAGACTTTAGTGTAGTCAATGAAGCAGAAATAGATGTTTTTCTGGAATTCTCTAGCTTTTTCTATGATCCAAACGATTTTGGCAATTTGATCCCTGGTTCCTCTACCTTTTCTAAATCCAGCTTGAACATCTGGATATTCTCAGTTCACGTACTGTTGAAGCCTAGCTTGGAGAATTTTGAGTATTACTTTGCTAGCATGTGAGATGAGTACAATTGTGTGGTAGTTTGATCATTCTTTAGCACAGCCTTCCTTTGGGATTATAGTGAAAATTGACCTTTTCCAGTCCTATGGCCACTGCTGAGTTTTCCAAATTTGCTGGCATATTGAGTGCAACACTTTCACAGCATCATCTATTAGGACTTGAAATAGCTCTGCTGGAATTCTATCACCTCCACGAGCTTTGTTCATAGTGATGCTTCCTAAGGCCCATTTGATTTCACACTGCAGGATGTCTGTCTCTCGGTGAGTAATCACACCACTGTGGTTATCTGGGTCATTAAGATCTTTTTTGTAGAGTTCTGTGTATTCTTGCCACCTCTTCTTCATATCTTCTGCTTCTGTCAGGTCCATTACCATTTCTCTCCTTTATTGTATCCATCTTTGCATGAAATGTTCCCTTGGTATATCTAATTTTCTTGAAGAGATCTCTAATCTTACACATTCTATTGTTTTCCTCTATTTCTTTGCACTGATCATTTAGCAAGTTTTCTTATCTCTCCTTGCTATTCTTTGGAACTCAGCATTCAGATGGATATATCTTTCCTTTCCTCCTTTGCCTTTAGCTTCTCTTCTTTCCTCAGCTATTTGTGAGGTCTCCTCAGACAACCATTTTGCCTTTTTGCATTTCTTTTTCTTGGGGGTGGTTCTGATCACTGCCTCCTTTAACAATGTTAAATGTTAAATGCTAATATGAACCTCTGTCCATAATTCTTCAGGCACTCTGTCTGTCAGATCTAATTCCTTGAATCTGTTTGTCACTTCCACTATATAATCATAAGAGATTTGATTTAGGTCATATCTGAATTGCCGAGTGGTTTCCCCTACTTGACCTAGCCCCTGTTTACCCCTCCAACCCCATCTCCATTGTGCCCCGCTCCCTTCTTCCCCTGGCCACTCTCCCACCCTCCACACTATATCACCCCCACTGCCCCCCACCACATACCCCTCAGCTCCAACAGTATCAGACAACTTGGACTGTTTCAAACACCTCAGGCTGCTTTTGGCCCCAGTGCTTTTGAGCATACCTCCTCCTCTGAGCTCCGTGTCCCTCTGCCTGTTCACTCCGCAAACTGTTTCCAAGCATCAGCTGCTAGGCATGGAGAACAGGAAGCCACAGTTCCTGCCCACATGAACATGTAAGAGAGTCCTTTTTCCCTCCCTCCCTTTCTTCCTTTCCCTTCCCTTCTCTCTCTCTCCTCAGCTACTTGGTGAACTATCCATTCTTCAGAATTTGATTTTGACACTACTTCCTCAGAGACACTCTGCTTTTCCTGGACAAAAACCTCCCTCTATGTCTGTGCTAAGCTTGCAGTGTTGCCCCTCTCTCCAAATGAAGTCAGCTGGGAGCTTGGGTACCAAGCCCCTCCACCAGAGCCCAATGCAGAATCCCTATTTCAGTCTCAGTGGATAGAGGACTTGGCTCACATCTTATCTGGGGCCAGTGTTTCTCCCTCCAAGTACTACATGCACGGGGGGTGTACATTAGGACATGGTGAACGTGTTTTAAGTACATTCTTGCTGTGTTCTATTGGGCTTTTTATTTTTGGTAGGAATTAGATGGTAGCATGATTTTTCTTCATAAAAGGAATACAGATAACTTCTCATGAAGTTGAACAAAATGCAACTTACATTTCTCCTTCTCTATGAAGTCTTCCCAGAGGGGGTGCCACCATGGAGTTTAACCCTCTCTGTCTCAGTAGGCTTGGATGCCATATCAAAACACCATAGACGGGGTGGCTTAAACCACGTTTATTCCTCACAATTCTGAATGCTGAGAAGTCCAAGATCAAGATGTCAGCAGATTCAGCTTCTAGCAAAAGCCAGCCTGCTGGTAGGTGGAAGCCTTATAGATGGCTGCCTTTTTGCTATGACCTCATGTGGCTGAGTGAGAGCAAGCAATCTTGGTGTCTCCTCTTATAGGGACACTAATCCTATCAGATCAGGGACCACCCTTGTGTCTTCATTAAGCCTAATTACCCCTTCACTCTAAATACAGACACTCTGGAGGCTAGAGTCTCAATATGTGAATTTGGGGGGACACAATTCAGTCCAGAGCTCCCTCCTCTCTCTGGACTCCTTTGGAGCCGCAGCCCTCACAGTAATCTGATCCAATCCTGCTCAGTTCCCAGAGAGAAAGACCCTGTGTGCCTAGTGACTTGTATGTAAATCTGACACTCACCTACCCTCAGTTGTATTTTTAGGGAACTCTTTAAAAAATAGGGAGGTTCAAGATGGAAGGGACATATATATACTTATGGCTGATTCACGTTGCTGTGTGGCATCTGGCCCCATTACCGCATGGCAAGTAGAAGGGGAAAAGGCGGAAGTAGTGACAGGTTTCCTCTTCTTAGGCTCCAAAATCACTGTGGACGGTGACTGCAGATAGTGATTGGGTGAATGAAAAACAGCAATGGCAGGAACCAACACAACACTGTGATTGCTTCTTGGCAGGAAAGTGATGACAAACCTAGATGGCATATTGAAAAACAGAGACATGACCCTGTTTCATATAGTCAGAGTATACTATAAGGTTCATGTAGTCAAAACTATGGTCTTCCTGGTGGTCACGTATGGTTGTGAGAGCTGGACTGTAAAGAAGGCAGAACGCCAAAGAATTGATGCCTTCGAACTGTGGTGCTGGAGAAGACTCCTGAAAGTCCCTTAGACTGCAAGGAGATCAAACCAGTCAGTCTTAAAGGAGATGAACCCTGGATATTCACTGGGAGGACTAATGCTGAAGCTGAAGCTCCAGTATTTTGGTCATCTAATGCAAACAGGCAACTCACTGGAAAAGTCCCTGATGCTAAGAAAGATCGAGGGCAAAAGGAGAAGAGGGCATCAGAGGATGAGCTGGCTGGATGGCACCACCAATGCAATGAACATGAATTTGGGCAAACTCCAGAAGATGGTGAGGGACAGGGAGGCCTGGCGTGCTGCAGTCCATGGGGTTGCAAAGAGTCAGACATGACTGGGCCACCGGACAACAACACAATGAGAGAAAACAACACAACACTGTAAAGCAATTTTCCTCCCATTAAAAATAAAATTCTCAAAAACCTACTATAATTATTAGTACTCTGTGGTATTGACATAAAGATAAACAGATAAAGCAATGAAATAAAATTGAAAGTCTAAAAAAAATAATTCTTCAAACCTTGGAGAATATAAAATGTACCAACAAAGAAAATTGAAAGTCGCTGACAAATTCCATAACCTGGAGATAACATTTCAATGTGCATCTTTTCAGATGATCTATGCAATTATCTGCTTGTCTAAATTTTTAATAAAAATGGTGTCACTCGGTATAGACAAGCTGGTAGATGCAGCAGGCTCATATACTGATCACAGTTCAATCTCGGTTCTCTGTGATGAACCAAGGGACACACCTGAGGGTCTTGTGAACCAAAAACTGTCTTCAAAATTAGAATCTCAAAGAATTTTAGAGATTCACTTTTCCCCCTGAAGTATTTGTGCACAGGTTGAATCAACCTGAGTCTTATTTTTTTCACTGACGTGTAAGTTGACTTACAACGTTGTGTTAGTTTCAGGTGTATGGCAAAGTGATTCAGTTATACATACACATATATCCATTCTTCTTCAGATTATTTTCCATTATAGGTTACTATAACATACTGAACATAGTTCCTGATGTTATACAGTAGGTCCTTGTTTATTTTACACATGGGCCTGCTCAGTCACTCAGTCGTGTCCCACTCTTTGCAACCCCATGGACTGCAGCCCGCCAGGCTCCTCTGTCCACGGGATATCCTAGGCAAGAATACAGGAGTGAGTTGCCGTATCCTCCTCTAGGGGATCTTCCCAACCCAGGGATTGAACCCAAGTCTCCTGCACTGGCAGGTGGGTTCTTTACCACTGGGCCACCTGGGAATCCCCGTTCTATATATAGTAGTGTGTATCTATTAATCCCCAGCTTCTGATGTCTCTTTTCCCCTCGCCGCCACCTCCCCACTTCCACTTTAGTAACCATAAGCTTGTTTTCTATGTTTGTGGAGACTCACTTATGGCACCTGTTGCCGGGGGAATGATGTGGATGGATGATCATACATACACGCACATGGGCACCGTGGTTCCCATTCACTGCTTTGGGATGAAGACCAAGTCTCTCTCACGGCCTGGAAGGCCCCGCACATGCATGTGCTGGCTCTGTCCCGTCGCGGCCTCATCACTGCACCCTGCACCCGTCTTTCAGCCTTTCGTGCACGTGGTGTTCTCTCTCACATCACGGTCTGGCATCCGTGGGACCCTCCTTCTAAAGCACTCAGTCCGGATGCCTTCGCCTAGTCAGCGCCTACTTGTCTACGATCAGAGGAAGGGTCCTCGCCTGGAATCCTTCCCTGAATCTCAGGCGAGCTCAAAGTTTTCTCTTGTTGTTTCTGTAGCATCTGGTCCCTCCTTCCTTGGCATATATCTAGGTTCTGTTTTAGCATGTGTGTCTGTCTTCTCAATAGGGAACTCTATTCTCTTTGCTGTATCCCCAGCCACTGGCTCTGTGCCTGTCACATAGCAGGTACTCAATATTTGACAAAAGAATGATTGAAGGAGAATTCAGCCTTGATTTTTTTTTTTATTAAATTGCATTTTCTGATGAGATCAAAACTGAGGCCCTAAGTTTTACTTTCCCTCTGAGATCACACAGACAATTAGACATCGAAGCGGGTGAATCAGGGCCTGGGCACCCTCAGCTGTTGATGTCCTGTGGATGAGGCCTCCTCCCGTAAATCAGTAACTGTGAGCCAGCTGGTTGGCAGGTTTCCCAAATCTAACTTTTAAAGCATGGTCAGGAAATTGGGGTTTATTTTTCTAAGAAAATATGGAAACCACAAAATTGTGAACAGAATCATAAGTTATGACTTATGTTTGAGGGAAATTGCTTTTCACTCTAGAAAACTACCGCATCCTTTCCATCTCTGAACACAATTCCTCCTCCAATTATGAAATCATATTCTTTTCCATATATTATTTTTCCCTTTGAGTCTGTCTATATATATATTGAATAAAAGATTTTATTCTTTGGAAAAAAAAAAAGAGGGAAAGGAAGAGATAGAAAAAGAAATAGAAAGAGTAACCAGGCAAATTTTTAAGTTTTCTAGGGTTTGCTTTCTGTTTCTTTTTTTAAAAACGCAATATTTTTTTTTCACATATCATTTACCAATATTGATTCTAGTTGTATTGAACAGAAAAATATGCAGGAGAGAGAAAAAGCGAGCAGTCGGTGATAAATGTTTCCTAGAAAACATAGCTGCTGGCAAGACCAGTATCTGGCTCACTGACAGCCTGAGTGGAAAGAGATCCAGACAGTAATGATGGTTCTGTTGGTGGGGATGTCAAAGACAGGTGAAATGGGCATAAATTTTGGCTCACAAACTTCACTATACAAGAAGCATAACATTTTAAATTATCTCTCATAACTCATAAGGATCACTCTCATTTCTTTGTGAGGTAATCACCCCCATAACATGTTTATGCTCCAGGGTGTCAAGGCATCTAGGGGTTCATGGAGAAAGCATCTCAGTCCACACAGATGGGCATTAAGGTGGCTCTCCTGATGTGGACTCCCAGGTCTGTCTAACGACGTCCCATCACTGAGGGCCTTCTCTTTTGGATCATACTGCCATCCTTTCCATATGCCAGAACACCGGTCAGGACACTATGCCAGAGTGGAGCAGGAAGACAGAAAGTCCAGCGTTTTCCACTGAATCATGTCCCCCTCCTAAAAATACATGGGAAGCCTAACCCTAAGTACCTCCGAATGTAATCTTACTTGGAAATAGGGTCTTTACAGAGGTAATGAGGTTAAAATTAGGTTACTAGGGTGACAAATATCCCTGGTGTTCTTACAAGAAGGGGTGATTTGGACTCAGAGACGGACATACACAGCTGGAAGGCCATGTGAAGGCACGCAGGTAGGAGACTCATGTGACTGGAGTGATGTGTCTCTAAGCTAAGGAGCCCCAAGAATGGCCAGTAAACACCAGAAACTGGATGAGGCAAGGAAGGATTCTTCCTCAGAGCCAACAGGGGGAGTCTGGTGCTACTGATACCTTAATTTTGGACTCCTAGCCTCTGGACCTGTGAGACGGTACATTTTTACTATTTCAAGCCACTCACATTTTGAAGCTTTGTTACAGCAGTCCTAGAAAAGTAATACATCCAGTTTCCCCCTTCTTCTGGCCAAGACAGTTTTATTTACAGGCCAATGCGCTTACCTCAAGGGTTTAGGTTTTTGGAAAATAAGGACAGAAAGACCTGTTGGGTATCTGCTCTCCTGCTGGAACACACATGTCCCCAAAGACAATGAGCACAGGGCCTGTGTGCCGCTTGCTTGGATAGGAAGAAAGAAAAAGCGGACAGTAGGGTAAGAAAAGCAAACCCATCAATTAATATCTCCAAATATTACCCACGCTGCATAGTAATACTAAGCCACTAGGACGTCAATGTTGTCAGTGGCTCTAAGATGCATATTGTCATGTTTCAGCTGGATGAACCATGGGGTCACTCAAATCAGACTCATCATCAATGTGGCATTCATGCCTCCATAAACCAGTGTTGAGGCATTGCTAAGCCATCACAGCACTCTTCTCCGGACCCTGGCCTTGGTAGCCAAATCCTCGATGCCTGTTCTAGGCATTTGCTCTGAACCATGGTGGGAGGCGGTGCCTGAAGCGCGTGAACTTAGTAACACATGTTCACAGATAGTCAGTGCCCACAGCCCCACCGCTTCTCAGAGCCTGTACCAACTAGTGAGGCTCTGCTGGAGAAAGTCAAATGACTTCATGGGCTTGGGACATTACACATTTACGGCCTGGTTTCAACCAGGCCCTCGAGTCATCTGTGTCTATATACTCGGCTTCTTACCGCACACCCATCAGGAATTCTAACTCTGCCTTTCTCAAACTTTGGATGCCGCATCTCTCTCCCCCATGCAACAGATTCACTACCTGCTTCACAAAAGAGCAGAGGCACCATCAGTTCCCTGCTCATACACTGATGAAGTTACCTGTATCCCCATCCATCCTTTCCTTCTTCCCTTCAGTGAACTTGGAATTCCTCCCTCTGCACAAGCGTCATCTTTCCCCCACCACATCCTCTGCCTCTGTGACTTGAGCTGCTAGCATATAGGAGCTTCAAGACCCTGTGTGTTGTGTACACCAATTATGTGGCACTTAGTAAGTGCTCAATAATTATTTATAAACTATCATCATCCTTGTCCCCTTGCATTCGAATATTCTACATGAATTTTATCCTCTCAGTACAAAAATACGCTGAAGTGCTCTTGGTTAAGCAAACAGACAAATTTTTTTTTTACAAACGTTTCTTCCTTTCCTTGACCACCAAATTTATCAAAGCAGCCGTCTACATTCACTTTTGCCATTGTCTTATCCCAAGACCTCCCTCCCCTGTTTATTCCTCAACCCATGACAACCTGGACCCCTACTGTCTCACCCC